ACAAACATTTCGACTGCATTAGATGGTTGCATAAATGAGGTTAACGTGTTCTCGATTAAAAACACTCCGTACATTCCTCCGAATGAGAAAAGCCCTGAGCCTGCACCAGACAGAAAAATTACTAGTGACCTAGAGCTAGAGCGAGGATTTACAGTGCTACAAGTGTAACAGATGGTTTCTAACCTAGTTACTCAAAGATTTGGTACACATAGGTAATGTGGCAGGAAAACTCAACCAAAGTGCAGGGAGTTGCGTCGCAAGCAATGAAATATACGCAAGGAAGTATACAAAAAATGGCCGTAGATGAATATACGTACCGCCTAGAGAAAATCATCATGATCCATACAAGTTAGCCGACAGTGAGAAAAACACAGCAGATGTGCCGCATTACAAAAAGGAGATTAAACAACACCGGCTACAAAAGCTAAAAAAAGCAACAGAATGCTAAAATCATATTACCCGTTGCGTTGAGATCGTCGTTGTAGAAAGAAGCCAAAGGAAAGGGACAAACACACTCATAAAACAACCGCCATTGAGGTCGGCTCCTCGCTGTGTCAGCTAGTCTATCCAACCGGACGCGTTCATCGTTCTTCGGACTCTAGCCACGCAGTCGGGAAACATCAACCAGCGCCAACTTCGAAGTGAGGGATTCATTCCTCTTGGTCAAGTCATCGCTTGGCCTCCCCTCCTCCTCTTGCAACCGCAAACCCGGCGCACAAACTATGCACGTCGCGGGAGTCGGTGTGTTGGTATGCGCAACATGTGGCCATACCATCGGAGTCTGGTGTGTGATACAAGGGTGCTGTGGTTTACTCGCTCTTCCTGCAATGAATACTCGACGCCGAGCACGCCACTTGCTCACGTGGTATTCACACCAGACCTGAGCGAAGCTTCGAAGGCAACGATGCTCGGATGTAACTAACCTCTTTCTTTCACCCAATCTAGTGGACTAGGTTTTGCAAGTTTACAGGAGGGCTGTACAGACCGCTGCATTGTAAACTCTGCCTTTCAGCATGACAGCGGTGCTACGGCGACGCCACAGGTGGCAGACATTGGCTTAACTACCTCGAGCCTTTACTATTTGGTTCGTCACCTCATCTACAATCCCACGGACGCTAATATAGCTGTCCGGATACTTAAAATTCTGGACGACTTCTAGTTGATCACCTCCAAGGGTCAGTTCTGGAGTGGGTACTTGTTAATCTTGTAGAAGGACTTTGCAATTCGAAGGCGCAAACCGTAGCCTATAACGACGGACAGCTAGTGCTATTTGACACGTTTGTGAGCTGTCGCGGCATACTCCAAGTCAAAAAGTCGGTCACCTGGGAGCAGCTCCACACCTAAGTACTGCCCGGCGAACGTCGTTTCCATGACTTCGTCAATGGCGAAGTTGAGGAGCAAAGGTGACAACGGGCAACCCTGTATCGCATCGCTGGAGATATTGAAGGGCGGCGACAGTTTGCCGTAAACCCTCACTCTGGCTGAACTATGCGCCTACAGCGCTCTTATGACATCTAGGTATTTCTCGGGCACATCCTTCCTCAGTAGACAGTCCCCAAGTCCACATCCATCAACCGAATCGAAGGCGCCTTTAATGACTAGGAACACGACTAGGGTGGGTCGCCAATAAACATGGCGGTGCTCCAGCTACTGACGTAATGTGAACTTGTGGTCAGTGCAGCCTCGATTTCGACGAAACCCGACCAGTTCCTCACGCTTATTGCTTTCACGAGTGTCAGTTAATCTATGGTGGATGACAGAGACAAATACTTGAAAGCACTGGAGGTCCGACTGATTCCTCTATGATCGCCGCATTCCGAACGAGCTTCCCTTGAAAATTGGAACTATAACGGAGCGCCTACAGTCTGTCGGGACAGTCTCCTGCTCCCATAGATTCACTAATAAGTTATGTAAATCGTCCAAAAGAGCAGGTCACCCAAATTTGAAGACGGATGGATGAAGTCTCCCTGCTCCGGCGGCCTTGTTTAGTTTCAACCGTCTAATCTAACGTCCGATTTCTGCGCATGAGGGCTGATTCACTGGGACACTCCGTGGAGTAGGGCGATCATTGGCCGGTAGAGAAGTTGACAACTCTGGTCGACGGACTTGCTACTTAGTGGGTTCGACCTAATACACAAAGCTTTTTGACAAGCTGTGGATCGGCTGCGCACTCGTCGTGTATGGTCTCGCTAACACCAGGTCTGCTACCTATTTCCCGTATCAGACTGAATAACTTTCCCTGATTACCAAGTTCAGCGGCTGTTTTCATTTCGATGCACGATCAGTCCACCTCGCTTCGCGATCTCTCTTCAAATTTGCACGCTGTTTCGCTCTGTCATCACTAGTCTTATTGTATTCGCTTCCAGGCGGAATACGTCGACGAGTATCTATAACTTCCAGAGACCGTGTAGAGACCCTATGTCCAAGTTGACGACTTGATTTTCCACGTGAAGATATGCCTGCTGCTAACAACACCTGGCGGATATGCGACCAGTGAATTTTAACTCTATCAGCGTACTTTGATGAGCATCCAGAACATCTGGCATGTCCAGTTGACAAGTATATATGCGCTCCAAGCGATGTTGCAGATGTCCACCGAAACGCACCCGAAAATCGGCGCAAACAAGTGCGTGATCAGAACCCACGCTCGTAGTCCAAGTCGAACGACAGTTTTGAACAGTCTCCTGAGCGGTAAATGATCGCGATATGATTGATTTGCGTGCATGTCTAGTGAGAAGCTGGTGGGCGTCATGTCACCCTTCTCCGGGTGCTGTGTCGGAAGTTGGTGCTCGCGAGTAAAAAAACGAGTCTCTTCACACAGGTGTAGCAACCACTCACCGTTATCATTACGGGAGCCTACACCGCGTTGACCGCCCAGAAAAAGCTCATCAGGACAGTTCTCCAACTTGGGCGTCCAAGTAACTAGCCAGCACCGCAGTGTCCGTACTTTTTGTTTAATGGCGGAGCGCGTCCAGTTGGTGATGGAATTTATCCTTCATCGAATCAGCGGAACAATTTGTGGGCGCGTGGGCCGCAATGACAAACAGCCACCGTTTGTCCCCACGAGACTTCGAGGCTCTGAACAAGCCAGCCAATGTGACAGCGCACATTCGGATGTTCATTGGAATCGAGCAGAACAGGACATATTCAGCCCATGGGGCTAAGAACGATGCCCACACCGGATTGACCTGCATTTGAAGCCGCTTCGTCTCCGGACAAACGTAAATGAGAAACTACCGCCAGTGTCGCACGTAGGGGATCGTAGCGTAATCAAAAAACTCGAATATTGCAGGCCAGATTCTGATAAGCAGCAGATATCGATTCATAGGGCTTACAGTGTTCGTGCAAATTTCGCCCGACGGCGAATCTGTAATCAAATGCGCATATTGAGGTATGTTAGGCTAAGCGAGGATCGAGGGCTGCAAATAGTAGCTGATGAACTGACATTGTCCGTTTGGCTAGACATGGACTTGTCGCCTGGCCGGAGTGATGCCATGCGCTTGTGTGTGAGTTGAAACTAGAAGATAAACGATTATTGAACCGAGATGGGGTGGGCCGAGAATTGGGGGAGGGGAGGTGGAAAATAGGAAAGAGGAAAATGAAGTTGGAACGGGACGATAAGGATGAAAAAGCGGAAGAGAAGTGATAAGAGAACGGGAAGGCTTGAGCAATGGCATCCAAACCCCTATCTACCCTGTTCTATGCAGCAGATAGGGCGCCGTTGATTATCCTTTGAGACGGCCAGAGCATCAAGATATGGTTTAATGAAAGTTGCATAGTATTGAGTGAGTAGGATACTGTCAGGTTGCCTAGGCCTAGACGGAACGATTAGGGTTCTCAAACAAAGCCTTTATTTCGAAGACCTGACCGCAAGGCAGCGTGGTTTGGACATTGTACTACTGAGGGTCCGTTTTATGAAGTAAGGAGTCACCCGCAATTTAACCCGCAACCTGGAAGATCAGGAGACCGAGTTTATCAGGCGTCTGGCTATTGGCCAATCTGGTATGAGTGGCTCTGGAGGTGCAAAAGCACCACTCAGCATAGCCCAGTGGATCGCTGAGGCACGCAAACCATGCATCACATTAAGGTCCAGTCTCCTCGCGATGGTGTAAACAGAGCTTAGTAGAACGGAGCTACATGATCCCAACCACATGGTGCCAAATGGAGATACTGGTCTTCCGGCGTGTGCGATCCCGAGAAGTACACAAGCCACAATGTCATTCAAGCAAATACCTTATGGTCATCACCGAGGTTCGCCAATAACCAGCTAGATAAATGGTGGTCAATGGACGTCGAGGTAGCCGAACGGCGACTGTGGGAAGGACACGACTAAACCAAAATATATGGTGCAAAGGTAGCCACCTGGTTCAGGGAGTTTCCTAATGAACGCAAGCAAGATGATCACTATCACAGACGTATGAGTGACCAAATGGAGATGAGTTATGCTCTAGGGATGCCAAGAATTAATGTGAACTAACATTGGCTATCGTAGAGCGAGACAGACGGTGCAGCAGCGATGTATAACTAATGTTCCGCCGCCCCGACGGATGGTCGAAACCATAGAAAGTACTATAGATCTCATCAATGTGTGCAGTGCGCTCAGCTATGATACGGTTACTCGTAGGAGAGAACCGAGCGGACAGCCTGACTGCTTGCCAAGTTATGACATGAAGATTGTCAATCGAGTAATGCACACTGAAGGTGCGAACTATCTGACAGCTGTCATAAGAACTTGGGCAAAAAGGCAGTCAGAGTCAAACAGTGCGAGCCATCCATGATGTCTGTGAGGGATGTTCTGATAGAGACCAATGGAGATCTGAGTCCAAGTTCACTAAGACGACAGTTAGAAATTTTAGCTGTTACTCCGAGTGGCGTTGCGGAAATAAAGTCCACAACGGAGAGTGTTAGGCCAAATGGAAGAAATTGCTGACACGAAAAACGGAAGATGAACAAAAAGAAAAGGGATCGGAGAAAGATTTGTGATGCTCTCACACACTTACTTATACAAACCAACGTATTCCGGAGACCAGCAAAATGGTTTGGCCATGAGGTAGAGGAAAACAAACTGTCCCTCGGGGAAAACCACGATGGCGTACAAAAGAACCAATAGAAAAGCCAACCAGGTGAGTGGATGGTGAGATTTCATTATCTGTGAATCGGTAAGCGACAGGGTAATGAGTAGAGATTATGGAGGGGGAATGTGTAGAATATACATTCGTGAAACTATATGTGATTAGACTGGTTCCATTTGTGGGTAACGTGTACCAAAAACTGGTGGGGTATGAAGGTACGGGAATGTCCCCACCTACGGTTGTCAAACATCGACTTCCAAACCTGCTCTCGACTGCAACTGCGAACAATCATAGGAAGCTTGTATCTACAGGGAGACAATGGGCGGATCGTGTTGTGCATCGCTGACGCAACATTAGAGAGAGGATACGTACTAGACGTACACAGATGAGCAGTATCGTATCCTGTTCCATAATAGAACCCCTACTTGAAATTAAAACCATCATGGAGGTTGTGTGTGACCCCCTTCTGCTCTAACATGGTATAGAGTATTGGAGCCAGTAATCGAGAGGTCGGCATCAGACAGATAGAGTAGTAATTAACACCCGCATCGAGGACTACTGGAGCTAGGACGTCAAGTAGCAGTATACGTTAGATACAGGTCAGTCAGTTGGATCTAGCTTGAATAATGTGGCAATGCAAGGCATATGCTTGGAAAGGCCTCCGCACAGGAGACCCTACACACCGCAAATATTGCTTGTAAATAATAACAAAATAACAATAATAAGGTTTATTAGCGGAAAGTTTGAGGTATACTATTGCAACCACTGCGCATCCATTGAAGAGAGACTAATCAGTGATCAGCGTTGGTGGAAATATGGCACAGTAAAAGCATAAACAGGTTAAGAAATATTTACCTACAAAGAGCAATAGTGTGTTTTCCATAAGTTGGCCTGAGTTTAGTAAGTTCGTCGCCTGGTGAGGGAGTTACCCTGTCCTCTGCAAGGTGGTAACATACGAGTGAGGGGACAGTGAGCGGCACTGTATCACATCTAATAAGTTAGTCAGGTCGATCGTAGCTGTTCCCTGTAATCCGGTGGTCTTAACCACGGAGTAGTAACAGTCGGGTTGCTGATTCTAGCCCTACAAGGGCCCGATGGAATGCGCACGGTATTCCCATGATCTGCAATCAAGATTAGAACGTGTGAGGCTCACTTTAATCATGTCCTAGTAACGTAACTTTGGTTTCCCCACATGCCGCTTCCCTATACTCAGCTGACCGTATAAAAGCTGTTTCGGTATTCGCGTCGAATCCATACGGCTCACATGACCGAGCCATCTCAGGTGTCGCAGTAAAAGTAAAGTAAGTCCACTGCATACATCCCACTTCGGCGCAACACTTCCGTGTCTGCAACTCTGGCGCCCCCAGCCGATCCGCAAAATTCGTCGCAGACCACTGCTGATGGAACCGCTCGAGATATCGCACATCCCGACGGTACATCGTCCACGTTTCACTGCTGTATAGAAGAACGGACAGTACCATGGATTTGTACACCATCAGTTTTCGTGCCAATGCTAAGCTGATGGTTGTTCCACACTCGGTACTCAAGCTTCCCGAATGCCGCTGCCGCCTTCGACACGCGATTACGCAACTCAAGGTGTAGCTGCTGATCAGTCGACATCACACTCCCAAGGTAGCAGAAGCGGGAGGTGGTTTCCAATACTTCAGCACCAATGATTTGCGGCAATATTGAAGATTGCACCTCTGGTGAAGGCTGAAAGAGACAGACAGTTTTGGCTTGTGTTGATGGTGAGCCCGAATTTGGCCGCTGTCGAAGCCAGAGCACTAGTCATGTGCTGCAACTCATCCGCGCTGTGTGAAAACAACGCACAGTCGTCAGCAAACAGCAACATACGAATAGTTGTCTCACAGACTAGAGTTCTCGCACCGAAACGACGGATGTTCAGCAACCCACCATCAATACGGTGCTCCACACGAACACCGTAAGCACAAGCCGCATCAAAAGCACAAGACAACATTGCATGAAGATAGATATTAAACAGGACAGGAGCTAAGACACAGCCTTGCTTCACACCAGAGACAACTGTAAAGTTATCAGAGGTCTCTCCACTCAGCTGCACCCTCGCTCGCATACCACTGTGCAGACATTCAATTAAACTTACAAACTTACGCGGGCAACCAAACTTACCCAACACCAGCCACAATGCCTCGCGGTTCACCGTATATATATATATATATATATATATATATATATATATATATATATATATATATATATATATATATATATATATGCCGGGTTTCCCAGTGAAAGATGTTCGTATAAAAAGTAGTGGGGCTTGACTATCTCAGTCTGAAGACCTGACACCTTCAGATTCTTGGCGTTCTACGCCTACAGAATCTCATCCGTGTCGAGTGGCACCAGCAAACCCAAAACCTGTGCGGGTGTGCCGAGTTACGGTGACCAGGTCAGTTCCTTATATAGAGAAACAAGATTGAATAGATCAAAGTGGGTTAGCTACGCGCTGCGCATGCACTAATGGCTTACCCCATGTAAACTGTAGCGAAGCTTGAGTAGGGCAACGATCAGTGACCTACCAGTAGAGAGTGAAGATTTTGACCACTAGAGTGAATGCCGATGGTCCAATCTAGCTTTCATGGTACCAGTGAGTAGATTGAAGCATAAGAGAATATGATACGCACGATTGGCACCAGTGACGTGCTCTTAGCCTGTACACTAACAGGTTAAGTGATCTACTGTTGTTAAGTGATTTGCAGAATGAGGATGCTGGCGGCGCAACACGATGAAAGCCCTTAGGAAAATGTCCCACCGATGTCACATCGCACATAGTCCTTGGAAATACAAAACGAAGTCTAGACAGCGACAAAAAATATATTGCTCATTGACCGCAGAATCATGTATACTACAAATAAATGCGAAGGGTAATTTCAAGGTGACAGCTCTAAACTGGCCAATTTGATTTACAACCTCCCATGTCGTCACTCTGCGTTCATTCGCCCGAACGCGTTGTTCATCCACTGTGCTCGATCCAATCCACGCCTGCCCTGCTGCCAGAGTCACATTGACCAGTTTGGTGCTAACAGTGGTCAATTCTGCGTAGTCTCTTTGGCACGTGCAATCGTGTTCGAGTGGCGGATTCGTTTTCCGTCCTTTCGTCCTCAGTCGGTTCCAGTTGCATATCGTATCACCGGTCTGGGTTCGTTAGCGCACGTGTGCCGTTGGCTCATTGCTATCCGAACCAATCCGGCTCACCCTTGTCTGAGGTAAGGATGCTATTTACTCGCGCCAGGCTGGATGGATTGTGTCAAGGCATTACGGTCGGTAGAGCCATAAGCGGTGGTTAATTAACCTAGTGTCCATTGGTCAAGTATTGCGCTCGTTAACCAGAACCATCAGCTGCAATGACGAAAACTTGACACGGTTCCCAGATGGCGATAATTGTGTAATGATGCTGTTAAGATCCAACTACTTTGATTGAGTCAGTTAGATCCAAAGGAACATTAGTTCCAATTACTCTTCGATAAAGCGATCGCGCATGGTTTATGATCATATGACAACTGGTTCCGAATACGACGGAAGCATCATTTATCAACCCAATTCTCAATAAAGTAATTGGGTGCAGTACAAAAACTCAATAGCATATTACTGGAGTTAAAACGAGTGGTTAGTAAAGTCAACTACTAGCAAAGGAATGGAATTAGACATCATCATGTAAGGACTAGGATGATACCACAGAGATTACAAACAGTACCGAAGAGCCGCTCGAAGTGATTCGTAGATTTATTTCTCTAGGTATCTGTATCATTTGAACAGTCGAATGGGCACTGTCAGATTCGTTGACTCGCTCAGAGCCTCGAGTTAGCGTACGTATAAATGGTGGCTGTTTGTCATTGCTGCCCCCGCGCCCACAAATTGTAGCACTGACTCAGTAAATGATGAAAGTTATCAGCAAATGAACGCGTTCTTCTGTAACATTAAAAGTACGGAAGCTACGGTGCTGGTTAGTGATTTGAACCCCCAAGTTGGAGAACTGTCCTGATGAGCTTTATCTGGGCGGCCAACACGTTGTAGGCTCCCGATGATAACGGTGAGTGGTTGCAACACCTGTGTGAAGACGCTCGTCTCTTTCTCGCGAGCACTAACTTCGACACAGCACCCGGAGATGGGTGACATGGCGCCCACTAGCTTCTCACTAGACATGCACGCAAATCAATCATATCGCGATCATTTACCGCTGGGGAGACTGTGTTCAAAACTGTCGTTCGACTTGGACTACGAGCGTGAATTCTGATCACGCACTTGTTTGCGCCGATTTTCGGGTGCGTTTTCGTGGACATCTACAACATCGCTTGGAGCGCATATATACTTGTCATCTGGACATGCCAGATGTTCTGGATGCTCATCAAGATACGCTGATAGAGTTAAAATTCACTGGTCGCATATCCGCCAGATGTTGTTAGCAGCAGGCATATCTTCACGTGGAAAATCAAATCGTCAACTTGGACATAGGGTCTCTACACGATCTTTGGAACTTATAGATGCTCGTCGACGTATTCCGCCTGGAAGCGAATACAATAAGACTAGTGATCACAGAGCGAAACGGCGTGCAAATTTGAAGAGAGATCGCGAAGCGAGGTGGTCTCGTGGTGCATCGAAATGAAAACAACCGCTGAACTTGGTAATCAGCGAAAGTTATTCAGTCTGATACGGGAAACAGGTAACAGACCTGGTGTTAGCGAGACCATACACGACGAGTGCGCAGCCGATCCACAGCTTGTCAAAAAGCTTTGTGTATTAGGTCGAACCCACTAAGTAGCAAGTCCGTCGACCAGAGTTGTCAACTTATCTACCGGCAAATAATCGCCCTACTCCCCGGAGTGTCCCAGTGGATCAGCCCTCAGGCGCAGAAATCGGACGCTAGATTAGACGGTTGAAACTAAACAAGGCCGCCGGAGCAGGGAGACTTCATCCATCCGTCTTCAAATTTGGGTGACCTGCTCTTTTGGACGATTTACATAACTTAATAGTGAATCTATCGGAGCAGAAGACTGTCCCGACAGATTGTAGCCGCCCCCCGTTATAGTTCCAATCTTCA